GATGGATGAAGCTCCAGAAAGTGTTCATCACCAACAGTGAGCATGTTAAAATGGTACATAATATGTGAGAGCAATAAAATACCCTGTTGTATTGCAAAGTGTCTCTAATGATTGACTCAGGTTGAACAGTGTTACCAGAACTACCAGATATTTTCTAAGGGTCTTTGGACCAGAATAACTAGAGCAGGCACAGTGAGTCATTTTTGTTCAGGTTATAGGGGTTTGTCCAGCCCCGGCTTCTGTGATTTTGCTAAGATTGTGTCCCATAGCCTTAAAATAAATTATGTTGGTTTGCTATTCACCTAAGTAGCTCAGAGTACACGTCTGACCTATAATGTCATTGATTAAAGATTAATACGCCGTTTAAGTTTTTGTAAAACTAAAATCAAGATTCTTATGTTGAGTAAAAACTTTTTGAATTTTAGTTGACTAAAACTGACTTAAGACTAAAATGCATTTTCGTCATAAAGACAAGCTAAAACTAAAGATGCCTGCAAATACACTGAAACCTTATTCAAAATAAACATTAATAACATTATTCATGCTGTTGACAGCTTTCACATACACCGAACAAAAATAAAAATGCAACACTTGTATGTAGGACTTGGACATATGGCTCAGATGTTTTGCTGCTGCTGTAAACACAATTTTCCATAATCCTTGAGAACACGAAGTTGAACAAAATACAGCTAATCACCTTGAAGCACCAGTAGCTAAGCCTCCTAAGACGTCTTTGAGTGATAAATGTGCAACAAAGTTCTTCGATGTTTAGAGGGGATAATTAAAATTTTCTACAATTTTACAAAATTGCTAAACACAATGAAAAACTGAACTCAGTTTATTTTTTAGATGATAAAGTGTAGCTAGTTAAACTGAATTCCAACAATTTTCATTTAGTCTGGGCAATACCTTTAATCACGGTATTTCTGTCACACCACCAAGATGTTTATATCGGCAAACTCCATCTCTTTTAGTCAAAGTGCAGCTTTCCATCAACCTGCAGCTAATTTAGTATTAGCATTTTTTTTCAGTAATGATAATGTTACATTTGCTGCCAGTAAAATCGAATCATAATTCATATATTTTACTTTATTTTCAGTGTTTACAAAAAACAATGAGAAATCTGTTCATATAATCCGTTTAATTGCCATCATAAACATCACCAACAAACCAACTTCTAGGTAGCTAACCATTTAGTGGGGAAATACTTATAATACGTCTTAAGTTCAGCACAAATGTCCAGAGTATAAAGGGAAAAAAAAGAATAGGCAGAGGTAGCCATACACAACTCCGAACTTTTAGATAATTTTTAAAACATTAGTCGGGCTTAAATCCACTAACTGCAGCGGCAATCTGAGCAGTTGCTGTTTGGTTCATTCATCCGCACATCAAATGCATCAACACCATTTGACTTTCTCTCCTTCCTCCGGGTGTTTTGAATTGACATGCTTTATGCATGGACAGCTTTAAGGCAGCGCTGAACCCTCACCACCTGGAGAAACCTCTGACCCACACATCGGACCAGACATCACATGGGTCTGCAATTAGGACCAAGGTTAACTATCCGTTTATAAACACACAACCATCTAAAATCGATTTTGAAGAGGGCAAATAGGTGAGGATAAAAGTCTTTAGAGATGCAAACACACACCCAGATGACGAGTTAGAAACCATAACCATGTGAGGACGTTGCCGCAGAAGAGCCAGTAGAAAGTGCTGAGTCATGGCTCCATATGGGAAATTATTGGATTCCTGAAAGGCAGAGAGAGAAACCAAACATAATGCATAACTGACAACTAATGAAAGTCGCAAATTCAGTAGGGCTGCAGCTATTGAATATTTTAGTATTCGAATATCCTATCGAATCCTCCATTGATTAATCAAATATTCTATTTGACGACATTTCAAGTGAAATGAGATTAGGGTATGCTGCTAAAAATATAAAAATAAAACAAAAAAATTTGAAAAAGATCAACAATATGTATTAAAATGGTGTATTCTAGTTTCCTACTTCCAAGCTGCTATTTATAGGTAATAAATAATTTATGGAACAAAATTTGACTTATTCAATTCAAATATTTGGCTTAATATCACTCATTCTTGTCTAATCATATCTCAATAAATTCACATTTGATCAGTAGAATTTAATTAATTCATTAACATGTTAAGGAGAAAGCTACTGGAAATGCTACTAACATTTCATTTCTACTAGTAACAATGTAATGGTGGCATATATATTTTATTATGTACTAGAGGTGGACCGATATTTGTTTTTTCTATTGCCAATACCGATATGAGGCGGTCATGGCCAGCCAATGGCCAATAAGTGCTGCCCAGTTTTTGGGCCAATACCTTGATGTTTGGCAACCTATCTGAATGCTTAATTATCAACTAATAACAACTGCGGATGCATGATTTCTGAACCTAATCTGTTTTTAAACACTGACTTTAACCAACTGTTGAATCTTAATTGTGTGCACTTCTCAGTGATTAACCCTTTGACTGGTGGGAGCACCGGTACTCCCATTTGCATATCTGTGTTCAAATGCTTGTAGAACTGAAACTATACACGATAGAACAATTTATTATTATTATTATTATTTTGCATATTAAACCAGAGGAGTTACACTTATATCTCACACAGTGAACATGTCCCAGAGCATATTTCTGCTAATTTGTTTGCAAAAAGCAACCAAAATACGCAAATTACAAAAGCGTTGTCATTCAGATGCTGTATCGTTCTGATCTGGAGCTCACAGGGCTTCACACACTAGAAAAAATGTCATCTCGTTGTCAACGTGAACTGCCACATGATTATCATTCACCCAAACACATGCTTTGACGTCATTTTCCCGCGTCATACTTTTATTTGTATTCCCAGTCTTTCGGCTTTTTCGCAATAATACTTTTAGACACACACATCACACACCCACTACGAACTCCCGACACACACCACTATGAACGTTTTGATGAATCGCAGACCCGACAAACGGTACACCCTCCTTAAAGCGGTTGACGACATTACAGCGCCGGATGAGGATGGAGTTTCAGTTTCCTCAGCCGCCCCGGATTCTGCTTACAGTGGGGAGGAAGCTGACTTAATCGAAGGAGTTGATCCGTCATACGACCTGTATGTATAAAGTCATTAAACATTCTTTATTATTGTTATTATTATTAGTGAGAGAAAAGGGCAAATATATACTACTGAAAAATTAGTGACAATATTATTATATTAGACTCCTGCTGAACAGTTTTATTTTTTTTTCTGTGTGCAGTGGTGATGAAGTTGAGAAGGAAACTGAGGTGTCCTGCACCTCAGGCTTTCTGGGCATCAGAGAGAGGCAGAGGGAGAGGAAGGAGTCAGAGGGGAAGACCTCCAGAAAAGAGAGGTGAACGTTCAGGGTCAGAAACTGTTTCTTTTCATGAAGCTGCCAGGAAAAGTGAAAAAAGAACCCTGATAACTTCTCACATCCTGCACCACATTTCCTGCCAAAAAGAAGGCCAGGGATACAGCCACCTGTTACAGAACATCTGAACAATCCATCTCCATCTCAGCTGTTCAAGATGTATGTTGACAGAGCTGATATCAAAAGTCTTTGTGCCAACACTAATAAAGATGCAGAAAAAAATATTGCTGCAGGCAAATAATTCAAATGGACTGAGGTGACAGAGCCTGAGATACATAAATACATTGGGATAACACTGTACATGGGGATTTTGAAGCTGCCAAAGCTCAGAGATTTTTGGCGTGCCAGTTCAATTTTTCAGGTGCCATATCCTCTCAAGATCGTGTCCAGAGACCGGTTCCTCACCATTACTTAGAACGTTCATATGAGTGACCCTGTGGAAGATGCCCTCAATGACAGCAAAAAAGGCTCAGATGACTATGACTGTCTACACAGTATACGCTCGCTGTATGACTGTTTACGTGTAGCCTGCAAAGCTGTGTACCACCCCCAGCAAAACCTCTCTGTGAATGAGCATATGGTTGCCAATTCAACATCTACACAGTAAAAAAATGGGGTGTTAAAATCACAGTGTAAAATAATTTTAACCTAGATAGAGTATTTACAACTATATGAAGTGTAAATCAACTCATACTGCAGAGTTAAAATTCAGTGTTAAAATCTGCAGACATGCAGAGTTAATTTCTACTCGACAGTTTATTTCATTTACCCGCCTATTTCCAAAGAGTCATTAAAAGCTGCTTGCTTGTCTGAACTTCAAGTCCAGACTTGAAGGAACTTAAAATGGTGGAGCTCGAAGCATTATTGAGCTTTTTAATAATTTCCTTGGTTCTGGAGGAGTTAGAAGAGACGTATCGTGGCGAAGGCATTTTCTATTGCTCAGGCTGAGACGCAACAGCCCAGGTAAAGTAATTTTCTATTAAGTAGGCTTTACCTATCGGCTATAGCTAGCTTAATGGATAGTTTTAGCTACTTTTTACAGGTTGTAAACAGACTCCGTATTAAATTCAAACCTTATACTCAAATACAACTTCAAATCTTTTATACTTACTCAACTACAAAAGCTCCCCACCAAAAGAGTTACGCAAGTAAGAAGAAAAAAAACGTGAAAATGGCTTAAATTTAAAAAAATCATTCTAAAACATGGATATTATTAACAAGTAACTGTTAGGAGAAAGAGCACATTACATTATTACCTGTAGAAGGACATCTAGTGGACAAAAATAAAAACTTGTTATATGACTAACAAAACTTAATTACGGACAGCACTTTCAAAATATAATTGATCTTTTGGTCTTCATTGCATACATTGTTCAAAAGTTAAGATTTTAGAATTTTGAAAGAATACCATGAATATGTACAATATTATCACATTTACAATTACAGCTTTGAAATAAAACTTTATTTTTTCTGTATTTCTCTTTAACCAGACTAGACCAGATACTGCAGGATTAACCTGAGTGTCCCAGTCCTGGACCGTTTTTTCAACAAGCAAGATCCGAGACCAGACTTTCGTGTGAGCAGGGAGTCCCTTTCAGTGCTGCTGAATCTGCTGAACCAAGATTGGCGTCATGGTTGGGGTGCCACAATTGAGACCCTGGTATTTCTTTTCTGGTTGGCAAGCGGAGCATCTTACAGGGTGGTCTCCAGAGCGTTCGGGACACCTCATCCGACTGTCCACCGCATCGTCCACAGAGTCACGCAGGAGGTTGTGGCCATTCGCCACCAGGTCATCCACCTTCCAAAGACCCCTGAAGACCTGGAGGTGGTGTCCCAGGGTTTTGCAGGGCTGGCATGGCACAGAGCTTTTGTTAAAGCTGCGGGTGCCATCGACGGCTGCCACATCAGGATCAAGCCTCCAAGCGGCCCTGATGGTCACTGCTACAGGAACAGGAAACTGTTCCCCTCTATCATCCTGCAGGCTGTGTGTGACCATCAGGGCCGCTTCATTGACACCTACGTGGGCTGGCCGGGGTCGGTGCACGACTCCAGGGTGCTCCGCCACAGCCCGCTGTACAGGCAGTCAGTCTACCCTCCTCCAGGGCACTTCATCCTCGCAGATGGTGGGTACCCATGCCTGCAAAGCCCACTCCCACTCATCACTCCCTACAAGCGTGGGAATCAAGGTGTGGCTGCCTAGCGCTTTAACAGCCATCATCCAAGGCACGCTCTGTGATAGAGCGTGCCTTGGAATGATGAAAACCAGGTTCAGAGCCATCTTCCTGCAAGCGCTGGAGGTCCACCACACCTTTGTGCCTCACGTAAGTGTAGGAAATGTTGCTTTTCACATTTCTTTGAAATAAATTTACATTATTTAATTTATGTATTACAGGTTGTTACCGCTTGTGCCATCCTCCACAACATCTGCCTCAGTGCTGGCGACTATGTGGTGGCGGAGGATGAGCCTGAGGTTGGTGGAGATGATGAGGGGGAGGCTGGTTTGGAGGATGTCAGCGGTGCACGCTGGTGGGACCAGCTGTGCTGTGAGGTGTCTGCCCTGGAGGAGGTTCCACTGGACCAGGGATTCCCAAAGTGTGGTGCGCGCACCCCCGGGGTTGCGCGAGCTGCCGCTAGGGGGTGCGCGAGGTGAAAAGTGTAATGGCGTCAAATTACTGTTTTTTTCCCCTTCACAATAAAAATGTGTAAATAAACAAAAAATATTCCTTTGTCATTTTTAAAATAATTAAAATAAAAATTGAAATTAACATTTCTATTCAAAATGCACTTCATCTTAAAATGAATCATAGAAGAATTCTTCTTCTGCTACTCCACACTGCATTTGCGCACCTAGCTTGTAGCCTCTGTCATTTTTGCAAGTATGCTCAATTGGCTGAAATCAGGGAAACTGTCAGGTGAGAATTTGAAAGTCAAAGTTAGTGATAAAGCAGGAGAGGAACCAAGGGAGAGTTATGAATCAGAGGCAACAGATGAGAGAGTTGCTACGGATCCGGGAGAAAAAAAACAGCGGGAGTCCAAAAATGATGAGCCGAAGGAAACGGCAAAGGACGAAAGATGGCAGCAAGGCAAAAGAGGTGATGAGGGTGAACACCAGATGGGGAAAAAAATAAGGAAATATGACGAAAATTATCTAGGTCTTGGCTTCACTTGGATTGGTGATGCAGATTGCCCAAAGCCGCAGTGCGTGGTGTGCAGCGAGGTTCAAGCAAACAGCTGCATGAAACCTCCTTATCTAAGTCGGCACCTTCACACAAAGCATGGCAATGTAATTCAAAGACCCCTTACATTTTTTAAATCAAAACTGGAGGAGTTACAAAGCAGCAAAAAAACAACTCCAGTTTCATTCATATGTCGGGTCTACAACAGACGCATTACGGGCTTCATGTCTTCTCAGCTACAGAATAGCGAGAAACGGGCTGCCTCACACACTTGCTGAAGATGTGTGCTTGCCAGCTGCCAAAGATATGGTGGGATGCATGATTGGAGAGAAAGAAGCTAAAATGTTAGACATGATTCCAGTATCCAATAACACTGTGTCACGCCGCATCGATGCACTGTCAGAGGACATCCTGGCTACATTAGTCAGCCGGGTGAAAGAAAGCGAGTTTTACTCGCTGCAAGTAGACGAGTCTACAGATGTGACAAATCTGGCCAATCTTCTGGTATATGTCCGTTACATTTTTGAAGGCACGGTGCAAGAAGATTTTTTGTTCTGCCGACACCTTGCTACCCGAACAACAGGAGAGGAAATCTTCAATTTAATGGATGTGTTTATGAGGACCAACGGGATCGACGACTCGCTGCGTGGGCATTTGCACTGACGGGGCAAAATCATCGACAGGGAAGCACACAGGGCTTATAGCTCATATCAGGAAAATGTGTCCATCCACTCAGTGGTTACACTGTAGCATTCACAGGGAGGCCTTGGCAGCCAAAAACATGCCAGCTGATCTACTCAGAGTCCTGAATGATTCTGTGAAACTGGTGAACTTCATTAAAGCTCGCCCGCTAAATTCAAGACTGTTCACGCTGTTATGCAATGAGATGGGCAGCGAACACAAAGCATTGCTGCTGCACACTGAAGTGCGCTGGTTGTCCCGCGGCAAAATATTAACGAGGCTTTTTGAGTTGCGACACGAGCTTCAGCAGTTTTTTGAGGACAATCCGTTTGATTTGGCTGCCAGCCTGCATGACGAAGACTTTCTGAAGAGGCTCGCCTATCTGGCGGACATATTTTCTGCTCTGAATGAACTTAATCTAAGTCTGCAGGGAGTCAATGTTACCCTGTTCAACACACAAAATAAGATTGAAGCTATGATGAAGAAGCTCCGGTTCTGGGCGAGCTGTGTGAGTGGGAATACACTCCTGTGTTTCCCTACGCTTCACGAGTTCTTGCTGTTTAATGACGTGCTCCTGGGTGTGCATTTCAAAAGTCTCATCATTGAACACCTCAACCAACTTGCTGAACAGCTACGGAAATACTTCCCACCCATCGACAAATCCCAAGTGTGGATTCGCAACCCATTTGAAGTTTCCCTACCAGTCACACAGCTGTCATTTCAGGAGCAGGAACAGCTGATCGAGCTGTCATCTGATGGCGCACTGCAGTTGCAGTTCAAACGAAAGCCACTTGTGGATTTTTGGACTGAGCTGATGCCATCATACGCAGTGCAAAGCGAGCCTTGAGAGTTTTGATCCCCTTTGCTACAACCTACCTATGCAAGGCTGGTTTCTCTGCTCTGACAGCAGTTAAGACTAAACATTGGCAAAGACTGGGTGCTGTTGAGAAAGATTTGAGGCTTAAACTATCTTCAATTGTGCCAAACATTGGAGAGCTGTGTGCGAAGATGCAGGCCCACCCGTCACATTAATATGTGTAAGTATTCGGCCAAATGGTGTTGATATTATTGCTATAAATATACTGGAAATATTCACCCCTCCCTCCTTTGTCTCTCTTTAACTTGCTGCAGGCTGAGCCACCGACGCTGCACTTGAACATCCTCGGGATCCAGCTTTAGTTATTTTTTTTAACCGGTTCCTGAGCCATGTAATTTTTTTGTGTGTAACTTTATTGTGATTTAAATCAAATTATTGGCGTTCTAATATTTCCATAACCTGTGTTGTTAGCTCCATGGCCATTTAAACTGCTGCACTTTTTGTTCAACGCAGCTCAAAATATTTTAACATTTTCCCTGAAGTTCCTGCCTTTGATCCTGCCGGTCATCTATCATTCTTTGCTCTTAAAAGTAGAAGATATTGCATAACTTTGTTATAGTGTTTCAGATTAACTCAAATGCGAGGGCGCATTGTTGTGTTATGATCATTTTATTTGTTTTTTGTTCATTTGAGCATGATTAAACATGCTGCTTTTAATATAAATAAATTTCATCTGCCATTTGACGCTAACAAAAATGCATTTTTTAAGGTGTGCAGCAGTAGCATAGCCAGGACCTAATAAAAGTGTCCGTAAATAAATGAAATAAGTTATATATATACATATATATAGTCGCCCGCATGCTCTCAAACCGGCCTGTGACCCACAGCCGCGCACTGAGCGCTCTGACGTGTGCGCTGTCAATACTAAGATACTTTTTGTTTTTTCAATGGTGAGAGCATCTGAACAATATCTGACTGACACTGGGACACCAATCTCAATGCACCTCGCTATTGACAGCACGCTGAAAAGCTGCGGGAGCGAGTCTGTCATGTCACAGATGTATTCCAGCGGAACCACGGCCCACGGGTGCAGAAGAGCGCATGCCGGAGTGAGTGATTTAAAATTGTTGGCTGAAATAGCACCTAACGAGACTCGTTGACAAAATCATCTGTTCAGCCTCTCACGGAGCTGTGCGCAGGCTGTGTCAACTCCTACTCTACTACTTGGTTATTAAAGCATAATTAAGTGGTTCCATAGCCACGCCCCTACTGTGGGGGGCTGGGGGGTGCGTCGAAATGGTCGGGACATAGAAGGGGGTGCGCAGCTAAAAAAGTTTGGGAACTGCTGCACTGGACCATGACTACTGTTAACAGGTACCAAATGAATGAATTTACTTTTTTTTTTAAGTAGTCTAACATTTCACCAATAGCATGTAGATTTTGTATTTATTTGTATCTATTTGTCTATTTATGTTTCAGTCTTGGTCATGTAGCAGCCGTCGACAGCCAGCCCTGCAAACCGATGGACGATGCAGTGGACAGTCAAGACACATCTTGAAGCTCTCTCTGCAGACCACCCAGTTGGATACTTCACTTGTCAACCTGAAAAGTGCAGCCACGGGTCTCAGCTCCAGCACTCCATCCATGACATTCATCTGTTCAGCAGATCCAGCAGCCCTGTTAGAGACTTCCTGCTTAAAAGTTTTTGAAACGGTCTTGGAACAGGACACTCAGGTTAATCCTGCACCAAATATGCATTTTATTTTTCTTTAGATTTTTCTCTTATTTTGTATGTTTCCCTTAAGTATTTTGTGTATATATGTTCAACCATGTTGGATGTAAATTTTTGTAAATAAAACTGTTACGTTTGATTCATTTCTACATTATTTTCTATATTACATTATTTGTTTATTACATTTAACAATACACGTTATAGAATAGAATCTTCAAGTTAATTTTAATACTTTATCAAGACATTCTCAATATTTTTAATATTGCTTTTAGAAGCAATTCAAATGCACCCACAATAGGCTAAGTTTTATGTTTGTTTTTTAATTAAAATGATCAAAATCACACATTAAAATAATGTTTTTGGGACTGTTGGAGAGCTAATTCAGAGATAATAGTTTGTCATGCTGAGCCTGATCAAAGATGTGATAAGTTTTTAATGCTTTCTAAGGGTCTTAATTTGACCCAAACCGATAGATCACCTTTTAAGACTTTTCAAGACCCAGCGGATACCCTGTAATATTAAACAATTCACATTTGTAAACAAAAATAAAATTCAAGAGTTTAATAAAGAACTGATTTTATTTAGATGATTATATGATTTATTAGATATGGTTAATCTTTATTTATCATTTTTTCAAGCAGACTAAAAAGCTTCCCAAAAGTCTCCCTTCTCTCCTGTGCCCTCTGCTGCTCTGCCTCCCTCTGCAGCATCATGTCCTCCCTGATGAGCTCCAGAAGCTGGTCATCGCTGTCCCTTCTCCTTTTTCTTGCACCCTGCTGACTTCCTCCTGGCTGACCATCTTCATCCTCACTCTCCTCCCTTTCCTCCACTGCTGTACTTGGCCCTGGAGTGTCCTCACGGATAGAGGCAATTAGGACAGGCGGACTGATTAAGGGTCTCTGTACTAATAACTCATCCATGAGGTCAAACCAGGGCCAAGTAGCAGCAGTGGGCTTCCCACTAACCCCCTCTCCTGACCCTGGACACTTGCAATCCTAGATAATATATATATATATATATATATATATATATATATATATATATATATATATATATATATATATATATATATATATATATATATATATATATATATAGAGAGAGAGAGAGAGAGAGAGAGAGAGAGAGAGAGAGAGAGAGAGAGAGAGAGAGAGAGAGAGAGATCTATATATATATATATAGATATATATCTTAGGTGTGTTCTTGCTGTGTCTTTGTAAATCCATGCTTTCGTTCTTTTTTAAACACAGAAACAGTTTTGTTTACCTGTTTGTAGCTACGGTTTCGCCGACAGCTGCCGGCTTCTTCAGGCTGACGCTGATGGTGGCGCGTCACTTCCTTCTCCGTTTATCTGCGGGCAGCAGAGGACGTTGTCGCCCTCTACTGCCCGCTCTCCCCTCTCCGACGATGCAGTCCCATGCGTGGTCCAGCGTGTAAACTCCGTCGTCCCTGTTCATGGTCCCACATCCACGTCTCCTTATCTCGATTGCTTCCTTGATCCATCTTTTGTATTTCTGTTGTTCGGTGGTTATGATCCGTGTGCTGTCCCAGTCCATTATATGGTTTTCTCTTAAGCAATGATCTGTTACGGCTGACTTCTTTATTGTACTTTCTGCTTCTTCTTTTGCTGCTCTTGTGTGTTTACGATTTGCCTCTGTCTCGCACTCCTTTCTGTGTTCTATTGTCCGTGTATTGAGTTGGCGTCCGGTTTCTCCTATGTATGTTTTATTGCATATTTTGCATGGGATTTCATAGATGACTCCACATTTTTGTCCAGCTGCGCATACCCGACATGGGCAATAAACAAAGGAAAACAACAAACAAAAACAGAAAGCAAAGAACAACCCAAAAAAAGAACCAGAAACCCAGAAAGACAAGAACCAAAACCAGTGATAACCCTACCATACATCAGAGGCATAACGGAAAAAATAAGAGCAACAATGAAAAAACACAACATAAACACACCAACAAAACCATACACAACAGTTAGAAACAGACGAGTGCACCCAAAAGACTAAATATCAGCTGGACAA